CAATGAGGGCTAAAGAGTAGGTTTTTAATTCTCTTTTGTGCGGAGTAGTAGGAACTTTCATTTTAGCCTCAAAGTTTTGTTTATATTCCAAGAACTCGGCTTCATTCATGCTTTCATGCTCTTTTTTCCAATAATTATGGTTATCCCGCATTTCAAAGGTAATCTTGGCTCGCCATTGTTCTAATTTTTCTTTTGACATTTGGAATTTTTCTTGTAAATAAAAGATAAGAGTATCTATATCAGATTCATTTTTAATAAGAAATTCTGAAGATAGAGAAGTTAAAGATTCAGGTATTTCAATCCTAGTTTCGGTAATGTTTGAAAATTGCTCGAAATTGTTTGATTGATTTTGAGCCAATACTATAGAGGACAATTGTGGTAAATTTGTCATAGATTTTTCGACTATGTTATTGCAAGAACTCTTTTCACAAACCTTATTACTAGATTTTGAAATGGTGATATCAGTAGTAATAGCGGAGCTAGTGTCAAGACACATGGGTATAGAATCGAAAAGTTCTTGAGTTTCATTGACCGATTCAGGTTTATATGGTGGAAGAATTGGATTTGTAGGGTAATAATTAGGATCGTTTGATTTTATAGCTATTATTCTTTCTATAGTTTCAAAACCAGCTCCATTATCTGGTACACAATAAATCCAATAAGTGTGCTTCCACACTCATTGATCTTTTGGCCCCAAGAGCATTCACTCACTCTTGATAGTATAACCGCACCAATTACCTAGTATTGCATTAATAAATTTTATTGTAGCATTGAGATCTGGTGTTCCTTTAGCTCTGGTCTTAAAACTGAAGAGTAACAATGCATCTTCTCGAATTTTAATGATTTTTTCCTGTGATTGCTCAAAAGTCTTAGCTACATCATCACCAGAAAGAATATTTGTGTCATCAATATCACTAAAACCTATCGATTGGACAAGATTATGTACTGCTTCCCATTGTTTTACTGAATAAAATTTATGCAAATCAACTGAGGACGGATCTATAGATTCATGTGAATCTTCCCATTGCATTTCTTCTTTGATTTTTAGATTTTCTATAGAATTTATTGCATTATAACCTTGTCTTCTAAAATATGCCAGCCTCCTAAAATGTTGTAAAGGTTCAGGATTATTATATCTTTCCACAAAATCTATATCACAAAGCTTAACCCAATCATCATTATTCATACCCCAGTTTCAAATATCATCCTTGCCACCAATATCACCTGAAGCATATATTCTCCATAAATAGTGACGTTGTAAAGTCATGTTATCAGCAAAAGAGCGTATAGGATTTTGCTTAAGAATTTCAGCTTCATTGGGACTAATATCTGGAGCATTAGCTATTGATTCTGCATCTGCACCTTTAATTTTTTTCTCAGTATTTTTAATAGTATGAGAAATTTTATTCCTGTTGACTTTCTCAGTATCTTCCACTAAAATTAATTCAAGTGTTGCTCCAGTACTAGCAATAAGACTGCAAAGAATCTCGGGAAAATATTTGGCTGATAAGAGTCTCTGATATTCAACTTCAATATAAGTTTCCACTGCTGGAGATAAATTAAGTGCATAACAATCAGTAATTTTATCCCATGCACACTGGCCTTTTATTATTGTTGGTAAGTCTCCAGGTCTTAATGCTGAAAGTTCAGCCTGAATGAGTTCTCGACATGGTTCTTTGAAAATATCGAATTTTTTGCTATGATAAAGGGAAACCATACATAATGGGCAGTCACAGATTCTGAACAACATCTGAGCAAACGCTTCAACATGAACTGGAGTGGCAATATTAGTAATTCCTATAACTGTGTCAAAATAACCAGATATTTCAAAGGAGATGCCAGCTTCTACGGTGCTTGTATAAATTACACAGTCAAGAGCACTCCAAGTGGCATCAATATTAGCAAAATCATCTTGGCGTTGTTTCCCATCCATTTGACCAAAATAAACCCGGGATAAAATGAATGAACCATCAGGTTTTTGCAACTTAGATGTTTGGTCAGCTAAGGCTCAGGCTTTTTTACAGCTAGTCATAACAAATGCAACATGTTTACCTTCTTGAAGCATCCTAAACCCTCTATGTATACCTTCTGAACCTTTATCCGGATCGTAAAGAAATTTAACAATCTCCCCTTTATGTGGTTGATATTTGTTGTCAATAACCCAAACATTCTCACCTCAATAGGATTTTAAGAAAGCTAAAGTTGAGTCATTTGCAAAAGCATCCATAGCAACAACATGAGTGGCTACATTTAACAAATCGCGCATGGCATTAGCAGATTCTCGAGCATGAACTCCACTAGCCATTTGACGCATAGTGGCATTTGCTTCATCTAAAATTGCTATACAAGAACGGCCCCCTTGAAAATCAAGACGAAGAATACTTTCAACCTGTACAATAATAAGGTCCCAATCACGCGTCTTTAAGTCAGCCACAATATTCTGATATTGCCCTACTCTGAAATCGAATTTTTCCAATTCTTTAAGTTTAGCTTCGGATTCATTGCTAAGGGTTTTATGATATGAAACCCATATAGTACAAGGTAAATTGGCACTACTTTGAGCTAAAGATGCCAAAATTTTTCTTAGTGTTTTTGTTTTTCCAGTACCCACAGTAGAACGAATAAGAGTGGTGCTAGGCTCTTCACTTAAGAAGTCTGGAAAAGTATCTAAGGCATCCTCCATTTCTTTTACATTAATACTTTTTCCAGGTAATTCGGGAAATTGACGTGGAGTTGATAGAGCCTTGGGTAATCTTTCAATCAATCCCCACTTCTTGGGTTTCACTCCTGATTCGACTTTATCTGATACCTTGCCGAAGCTCAGTCCCTTATGATCCAGCTTGTACTGTTTTTGGCGATAACATTTAAGTACGAAATCTCCATTTTTTCGAATAAATCCATAGAGTTGATCTTTATCATGTTTAACATCACATATAGGGCATTCTTTAGAGCGGAGCTCATTATTACATAATACCAATTGTGCTTACGAATCCTTTCTCAGTTCTTCCAATCTGGAGCCACCCATATTTTTCAATAACCATATTAGCCCCTTTAACCAAGGCATTTTCATCGTCGATAGGTTGGAATTCTTGTTTTACTGGCTCTTCAGAAGAAAAGGTTCATGGCCAGATTTCTGAATAATTTTCTTTAGGCTGAACCAAATAATCATCTAACTTTTGAAATCCAATTTTCACAGAAGAGATAGCAGGTCTTTTTATGCGTCCTTCTTTTGCTGATCCAAGGAGCCGAAGACTAAAACGTGATTTGGGAAGGCCAACATCAATGAATTTCGAGTAAGGATTTCCTACTAATTCCATAACTTTTTCAGTAAAGCCTTTAAGTTCTCTATAATCTATAAATCGAGCATGAGGATAAATAATATGCCAACTACATTTCTCAGCATTCGATGAACTTGCTAATGCAAAAGAATTTAAGAAAGGTATACATCCTGGAATAAGGCTTAATGTATCTGCACAAGCGACTAAAATTCTAGATATCAAATCTCCACGATTAATTTTTTCACTATCTAGAGAAGGAATTTTAGGATCGGAAGGATCTGGTTTTTGCCTTGCATCAATATCAATAATTAAGCGGAGGGGCTGGTTCCCATCGATACATTCATGAGTATCAGGTATTCTATAAACTTCGCTAGGATGATTGATCACTGTATAACCTTTTCCTGCTGTCCGAATTATATATTGGGAATGAATTTCTTCAGGTCGATATGCATCTAAAAGCGCTGTATCGTTTCTATCAGAAGAGCTGGTATGACCAGATGCAAGCCAGTATTTATAAAACATATGTTCTCTATGACCAGGTTTATAATCAAGATCCGTTAAACCTGTAAAAAGCCTTTTTGCTTCATTATATTCGGCCGATTTTTGATTTAGGCACTGTTGTTGTAATGATTCGCATAACTGTTTTTTTGATTCACTAGATAAACTCATTTATTGATTTGTATATATGCGTTGTTTGATCTGACAAAAAGTTGTTGTGTAATTTTGAGGGTTCTGGGACAAAACCTGGATTTTTTATAAAATTTTATCTAGTTTATAGCTACAAC